TCGCCTCCTTCACAGCCTCCCTCCCACCATACCTCCCCTCCCCTCCTCTCCTGCTCCCCCATGCCCATCATGCATTCATGGCAAGCTTAAGCAGTCCCCCCATCACAGCCATCCCACCTTTGCTGCCGCCCCCATTGACCTTGACCTTGTTCACCAAGGCACTTCAGCCTTGTGATCATCAGCGTTTCTGTACTGTGTTAGGCCTTGTACCTACTGTGCCTCACTTGTTGACTTCTTGACTCTGCTTGTACTGTACTCTATATACTTATACCTGCATGCTTACACTTGCTAGGTTGTGTTCACTGTACTGTTTACTTTCCTTTATATAACTCTGCATGTGAACTGGCCTTATGGCCCTTTGCTTGTGCTCAGACTGTGTGGTGACTTTGTGATCCACCCTGAGCTTGCTTTGGTTTTCTTGACTGGTCTTGTGACCTCTTGTTCTCCCCCACTTTGCCTATGGGGGTGTGTCAAACTTATATCTGCTATGGTCTATTTAGGCTGTAGTGGGGTAGCTCTTAGTGGGTACATTTCTAGTTCATTCATTCTTTCGTCTATCATTCTCACAGAGACTGGGGGTGCTGAGCTTGGGGGTGCTGAGACTGGGGGTGCTGAGCCTGGGGGTGCTGAGACTGGGGGTGCTGAGCCTGGGGGTACTGAGCCTGAGGGTGTTGAGGCTGGGGGTGCTGAGTCTAAGGGTGCGGAGTCTGGGGGTGCTGAGCCTCGGGGGGCTGCGTTGTCTGGAGGTTCTGCTGGTGCTTGGCCGAGACTGTGTCCGCAGCAGCTGCGTGAGTGGCTTCTTCGGCGCGCACGCCTTCGCAGTGGAGCTACTGGAGCTGGAGGTGCTGGAGTTCCTACTGGAGCTGGTGTTCCTGGAGGTACTACAGCTACTGGTCCCGGAGGTGCTCGTACCCGGGGTACTGGAGCTGCCGGGACTGGTGGTGTTGGGGGCGCTGGAGCATGAGACCCTACGGAGTCTGGAGCTGCTGGAGCTGGAGACTCTGGCGCTGGTGGCGCTGGAGCTGGAGGAGCTGGAGCGGGAAGCGCTGTGCGGACGCGATCGTACTTCGTTCCCCTGCTTCAGCAGGTTCTTGGTGTCCCGTCTTCTACTAGCCTTACTCCTCCCCTCCTGTGTCCACCGCCTGACCAGTCGCAGCTACCGTTACAGCCGGCCTCCCCACTGCCTGCTCCTTGTCCTTACACTGAGCAGTCCGGCGGTCTTACAGAGCCTCATGAGCCTGCGTCTTGTCCTATCTTGCCTGTTCGCACTGCTCGTCGCGGTCCTCGGTCATGTCCTCCTCCTGTCCCCGGCACGCACGCTATGGCACTCCGTCCTTCCTCTGTTCCACTGCGTGTTCCTCTGCCTGCTCCTCGAGAGTCCTTTCTTCCTGAGGCCCCTGACCCTGAGTCCGACCGCGCTCGTGCTACCAGTCCCACTGTCTCTCGTCTCCTCGCCACTGCTGTCACTGACCCTTCCTTTGAGTCTGCTGCTGCGTCTGCCCTCGTTGCTGAGCTACTTAACTTTGCTGCTGCCTGTCGTCTAGACTACGCCACTGCTCTTGTTGCTGAGTCTGCGTCTGCCAGTCCTCCGTCCGTCGGGGGTGAGTGTGCTCTTTGCACGGACGTCCTTGAGGACAAGCAGGAGGACTTTGAGTGTCTTGCAGCTGCTATACCTCGTTTCGCTTCCATGTTGCTCGCCCCTGAGGGAGACCCGGATGCACCAGACATCCCGACCCCGCGCTGTTACACAGAGGCGATTACGGGTCCTTACTCCTCTCAGTGGCAGGCAGCCATGGATGCCGAGATGGCATCCTGGAAGTCCACAGGCACCTACGTCAACGAGGTTCGCCCACCTGGGGCGAACATAGTCGATGGCATGTGGATTTCCAGGGTGAAGTGGCCAACGGGTTCTCCGCCTACCTTCAAGGCGCGTTACGCTGCTCGAGGCTTCAGTCAGCGACAGGGGGTTGACTACTTCCAGACCTTCTCCCCCACCCCGAAGATGACTACTCTTTGGGTGTTGCTGCACGTCGCTGCTCAGCATGACTACGAGTTGCACTCTCTGGACTTCATCACGGTGCACGATCACCCTGACTCAGTCACACATGGTGCACCAGTTCCTTCAGCACTTCGGCTTCCAGTTCTCCTCGCCACAGCCCACTCCTCTGTCTACCAGCCACTCGCTCTCAGCTCCACCTTCGGACGAGTCCGTAGAGCCGAGTGGTCCATACCCAGAGCTTGTAGGTTGCCTCATGTACTTGATGACGTGCACATGACCTGACCTCGCGTACCCTCTTAGCCTCCTGGCTCGCTACGTGTCTCCCGGTAGGCACCAAAATGTGCACTGGGATCCTGCAAAGAGGGTACTGCGTTACTTGTGCAATACGTCGGGCATGGGGCTCGTGCTTGGAGAACGGGGTCCAGTTGTCCTCACCGGTCATGCAGACGCTACCTGGGTTGACGACTCAGCTACGCAGCGGTCGTCACAGGGTTACACCTTCAGCCTTGGCTCTGGCTCTGTTTCCTGGCGGTCTACCCGCTCGTCTTCGGTGCTCAGCTCCAGTTGTGAGGCTGAGATCTACGCAAGGGGCCATGGCTGCACAGGAGCTACGCTGGCTCACCTACCTGCTGACTGACTTGGGAGAGCTGCCTCGTTCGCCTCCAGTTCTGTACGTAGACAACAAGGCCATGATTGCCTTGTGTCAGGAGCACAGACTGGAGCACAGAACAAAGCACATCGCTCTGCGATTCTTCCTTGCTTGAGAGTTGCAGCAGCGTGGCCAGCTTCGTCTTGCGTACGTGGCCACTCGGGCCAACACTGCTGATGTATTCACCAAGGCACTTCCGCCTGGTGATCATCAGCGCTTCTCTACTGTGTTAGGCCTTGTGCTTACTTTGCCTCACTTGCTTACTTCGTGACTATGCTTGTATTGTGATCTATATATATACTTGCATGCTTACACTTGCTAGGGTATGATCACTGTATTGTTTGTTCTTTTTATATAACTCTGCATGTGCACTGGCCTTGTGGCCCTTTGGTTGTGCTCGGACTATGTGATGACTTTGTGATCCACCCTGAGCTTGCTTTGCTTTTCTTGACTGGTCTTGTGACCACTTGTTCTCCCCTACTTTGCCTATGGGGGTGTGTCAAAATGTTATATAGTTTATATTGTGTAGGCTATAGTGGGGTAGCCCATAAGGGGTACAACCCAATTAGGGTTAGTACTTGTACCCAACTCTTTGCTAGTTCATTCATTCTCGTTCAGTATTCTGACAGGAATGAAATGGAGTGTTGGAGTAAGCAGGAATTAAATTAGGCATTCCCGAAGGTGCACCTGTATCGCACCCGCTTCCACCGAAGCAACAATAGCAGTAGTATCGGATCAGCCCATACAGGGCAGGAAGGTCAATGGTCGCAAAGGTCAATTGTCGCGACTGTTGACCATTTGGACTGAACGGTAACACGCGAGCAGGGCCTCATATTCACTTTTAGGGTCGTGAATCAATCAGGTTCCCCCTCTATAGAAACCCTGATTGACAGTGTTCCTAAGAAAAAAATCCTGAAAGATCAGTGTATCCTTTGGAAAAAGCCTGATGCATCAGTGTTCCACTAGAAAAAAGGCTGATAATATTAAAAGGTCCTAATTTTAAATAATAAGTCTCTACCAGCCTTTCAAAACAAAGCTTAGCTAACAGGACTCATGAATCATCATCGGAATCAATGTCATCATCACTGCCACTCGGTGTAAATCGTGCCGCGGCCTGCCTGTTTAGAAGGACCAGGATCAGATGGAGACTCCTGCGTGCCGGCAATCACGGGCGACGATTGTTGGTCGGCTGGCGAAGGCGGGGTAGCTCCATCGTCAGCGCCCTTTGTCCGCCATGGTAGCGTTGACTGCGTGCGTGTATCGGGCGGTTCTCTTGGCCACGGGATCGGGAGCGGTTTTTTCTGCTGGAGGCGGCGAGCTGTCCTGCTCCATGACTGACATTGTCGGGGAAGCACACAGCCCATCCTCATCAATGTGTTCGAACGGGATCTTGTCGGGCAGTTCGAGTTCTGGTGGCTTCTCCTTGTCGTTGACTTTGTGCTAAGCTCGAAAACAACAAATCGAGGCCGGTAACAGCTTCAGAACGGTCGACAGGCGGCTGATGATGCGCATCACTGCCGTGTTCGCCGTTATTTTCCATGCCGTCATGGTGTTCTAGCATGGTAAGCAGCGGGGACGGCCTCACATCAAACCTAGAGACAAGGGGAAATGCAAGGGATTGCACGGGCATAACACAAGCCACGGCTGGCTGCCTCTTGATACACTAGGAAGAAAGGGGGAAACCCCTTTCGCATGCAAAGCTTGGAGCAGAAGGGGCCCCTGGATGGCGGAAACGGCGTGGAAGCATCCCCACCTTGACGTCAAGAAGAATGGCACAGTGCTTGCCAGCACAGCCCAATCCTAACGCGTCGCAGGTGATGGCAACGGTGCATGAACCTTGCCAGCCCTCCAGCACCACATGGTGGCCACGTTCGGATTGGCCAAGACTTTAAGCTGCAGCGAACGGCCCAATGGTGTGAGGCGCCGCACCAACAAAACACCTCTCAACGTGAACACGAGGCTGAATTTGTTAGGTTGGTCCCGCCACGCGGTGCTTGCACCGCAGGAATCTTTGATTCCCGGTAATTGCAGTCAAATCCACACGGCACAGGTTAGAATCACTTTCTGTGTTAGTTCCGTTACAACGCTGTTGAATCAGTGTACTTGGGAAAAAAAAAGCACGGAAAATCAGTGTGGCCTAACAAAAAAGGCTGAAAAATCAGGCCCACAAAAATCTAAACTCTGAAAAATCAGCGTAGGTGAAAAAAGGATTGCCAGAATCAGGAATTATCATAGTACCCTAGGACCTTTTATCCGGAGAATCAGGATATCCTCCAGTCCTTCATAAGCGTTGGTGATACCCCTTTCGAACCCCATTCAGACTTTCCTATGAGCAACCATCAAAGGACACGAATGGAATGGAACACATCTAAAACACCCGTGATCCTCCTGCTCCACTCACCCTTCCCCTCCACTCCTCTGATATTTCCCTACCTCACCAACCCTTGCCGGCAAAGGAAATCTATTCATCCACCCCTCTTCTACATCCCGTAAAAATACCATTGTGCTCCACTCCCTGAACTACACTCTCATTCACCTCACCCACCGCCATTCCACTCGCCTTCCTATCATTTCTGGAAAATCGCAGCAGCCACCTCTTGAATGCGCTGCACTCACACTCACACCACCACTTTTTGCCCACTAGTCCACTTCCCCCTCTGCTCTTGTATGCCTTCTCGGTTTCTTTTCCCCCTCAGTACCACTGCTTTCTTGCTACTCCTCTTTCCCCTCCTCCCCCACGTCATCTATTGCCTGTTTCGCCAGCTCATAACCAATCAGCAAGGTTCATCACCCCAAGGGGAACAGTACAGAAGAACCAGCCAGCAACGGTAGAGCACTGCACTGTCATCCACCAAAGCTGGTTGCTCCTTACTGCCTCCTCCTTGCCTCCTTACTGCCTCCTCCTTGCCTCCTTACTGCCTCCTCCTTGCCTCCTTACAGCCTCCTCCTTGCCTCCTTACTGCCTCCTCCTTGCCTCCTTACTGCCTCCTCCTTGCCTCCTTACTGCCTCCTCCTTGCCTCCTTACTGCCTCCTCCTTGCCTCCTTACTGCCTCCTCCTTGCCTCCTTACTGCCTCCTCCTTGCCTCCTTATTGCCTCCTCCTTGCCTCCTTAATGCTTCCTCCTTGCCCCTGCTCCTCCTGCTCCTGCTCCACTACGCCTCTTTCCCCTCCTCCCCCACATCATCTATCGCCTGCTTGGCCAGCTCATACCCAGCAAAGTTCATCTCCTCCCCCCTCTCCCCCCCCTTCGCAACTCCTCGTATCCCTCGCTCCTCTCCTCCCCCGACTCCTTTTCCTTAACTGTTCCCCTCTATTACGCCTCTGTCCCCTCCTCCCCCACATCATCTATCGCCTGCTTCGCTAGCTCATACCCAGCAAAGTTCATCGCTCCAAGGGGAGCGATCCAGAAGAACCGTGGCAGCCAGCCTTTATACAGTGCCCCCACCCCCTTCGTGGCCAATAGGTTCGCGCCAACTGTCAGCATGCCGGCCGCTGCCACCCCGGGCGGCGACGTCATCATGCGCGTCTTGATGACGTCGAATGGCGTGATGGCGATCGCTGCCATGCCGCCCGAGAAGCCGCCCAGGAGAAGGGTTTCCCAGGGGGCGAGCTCCCTGCGGAGCACATGGCGAGTGACCTGCGATGGGGAAAGAATGGAAGCAAGTGACATTCTCAAACAGCAGTCGAATCCGAGAAGCCGCCGAGCAGGAAGTCTCCCAGGGGGCGAGCTCCCGGCGCAGCACATGGCGAGTGACCTGCGATGGGGAGAGTGGGAGAGGGAGAAGGGAGCAGCAGTGATTCTTTCAGCTCAAACGACAAGCAGAGAGAGCAAGACGCTGCTGAGCAGCAGGGCTTCTCTGAGGGGCGAGCCCCCTGCGGAGCACATGGCGAGTGATCTGCGATGGATGGGAGGAGAGGGAGTAGGGAACAACAGTGATCCTTTCAGCTCAGACGACAAGTAGAGAATCCAAGAAGCTGCTCAGCAGGAGGGTTTCCCAGGGGGCTAGCTCCCTGTACAGCACATGACGAGTGACCTGGGATGGATGTGAGGAGAGGGAGTAGGGAAGGGCAATGATCCTTGCAGCGCAACCGACAAACAGAGGGTCCAAGAAGCTGCTTACAGCAGCCCAGGACTCTCTGTCACTTCCCAACACAACACGGCCATAGTGCCTCAAAACGGTCCCCTCACCCCGCACTTGGCCTCTACCTCTATCAACTCACCCGCTTGACTTGCAGGTAGATGAGCATGCCAAACACGTAGAAGGGCACTTCTCGGCACAGCGTGGCGGTGGTGCCTCGGAACAGCCCTTTCACGCCGCCCTCCTTGAGCGTCGCCTTGAGCGCTGCCCCCGTGCTGCTGTACAGCCCTGCCTGCAGCTGCTGCTTCAGCACCTCACAGGGAATGCGGAGAGCCGTTCCCAACACAGTGGAGCAGAGAGAGGCCACTGGTTGGATCTGGGGGGAGCGAACGAAGGGAGGGGCGGGGGGAAGGGGGGGACAAGAAGGAAAGGAGGTGGTTGGGCGCCTGTGAGTGCTGCTGTACAGGCTTGGCTGCAGAGGGTCGTTCCCAACACCGTGGAGCAGAGTGATGCCGCTGGTTGGACCTGCGAGTATGTGAAGAGGCGGGGTGAAGGGGAAGAGAGGAAAGGTGGTTAAGAGCCTGTGCGTGCTGCTGCTGTACAGCCCTGCCTGCAGCTGCTGCTTCAGCACGTTCCCAATACTGTTGAGCAGAGCGATGCCACCGGTTGGACCTGAGAGTTAGAAGGGGAAGAAGGTTGAGACGGGGGAAATGGGGGAACAAGAATGAAGGATGATTGCGGCCCTGTGAGTGCTGGCGTAGCTGCTGCTGCAACGCGCCATCGAGAGTGCAGCACAAGGAAGCAAGCATGTGCCATGTGGAGGTGGGTGGGAGTATCAAGATAGAACTGGAAATCGAGAGGGAGCCCCTATTCAAGACTCTCAACAATGGATGGAGAATGTATGGCATCGAGCGGCGGATCTGCCTCATGGGGCAACCCATGTCTGGTACTCCCTGAAATGTTGAAACTTCCTACAGAATGTCTCACAGAGACAGGGACTTGCACATCCGGGCGGAGGAGGAGCCTATATTGAGTCAACCCACACCTGGTACTCTGTGAGATTCGGCAGCATGCTGGTCAGAAGCATCTTGGAAGCTTCGTACGCGCCCGTGCGCAACCCGTGGCTTGCAAACTGCCCCAGGATGGCCGGTGGTGCCCCCCGGTACAATCCCTGAATGCCGATGGATGGTACGGATCGCACCACCTCTGAAAGCGAGGCTGAGGAGGCTTGTACCCGCGTCTGGTGGTGGGAGCATAGAGAGAGGGGAATGGGAAGATCTGAGCTCCCTAGTACAGCCCCTGGATACCAATCGACGGCACAGATCACACCACCTCTGAGAGCGACGCTGAGGAGGCTTGCACGCAGGTCTGGTCGAGGTGATAAGGAAGAGAGGGAAAATATATAGAGCCGAAAAAGGGAGGGAGGAGAAAGAGAGGAGAGCTGAGAGGGGCGTGGGAGGGGATGGTGGGTGGGTGGGAGTAGTGGATAGAGCCATCTTGACTAAAAGCGTCAGGAACTGTACCTTTAACAGCCCGCCGTTTCTTACTGTCACAGTTGTCTTTCTGTCACGACCACTTGTATCGAATTCAAGAACTCCATTGATCGACCTATATTGATAAGATAGCCTACTCTTCACATCACACTCCGTACAGTAAAGCCCTTGGTATCCTTCCTTCCAGAAACGCTCACCTTCCTTACAATCACAGCCACCTGCTTTACAGTCACACTTGTGGGAAATGAGAGTTAGAATAGAAGTTGTATCTTGATTGAGAATGATGGGGGTATACATAGTTGGAGGTTGGATACTAGCCTTGGTTGGCATTATTGGACCCCAACCAAGAAGTTGAGTTGGGTGATTATTGGTGGGGTCCAATAATGTTGGCCAAGGTGGGGTTGGCCAACATTATTGGAGGGAGCCAATAATTCTACCCAACCCAACCTTTTGGTGTCCAATAATTGGACCAAGGTTGGGTTCCAACCTACAAACTGGGTTACCCCTGTTTGTACACCCAAACTAAGTTTGGGTGCTTATCTCTAGCCTATCCTATAGCATATATGCAGGTTACAAGAGGAGAGATATTCTAACACAACCCCTTAACCTGCAGATATGTGGACAGGCTAGAGAGTAGCAACCCCTGAATTAAGGCACGCCGGGAGGGGCGAGGCCGATGAGACGGAGAAGAGCAGAGTGCGCAGGGCGGAGAAGGGCTTTGGTAAATATATCAGCCAAGTTGGCCGCGGCAGCGATCTTGCGGACGGCAATGAGGCCTTGCTGGACGAGGTCACGGATGAAGAAGTAGCGGAGCTCGATGTGCTTGGAGCGGCCGTGAAAGACTGGGTCCTGGGTGAGGTGGATGGTGCTGGCATTGTCACACCAGAGTGTGGGACAGCGCTGCGGGGCACCAAGCTCGGCGAGAAGAAAGCAGAGCCAACGGGACTCTTGGGCAGCCATAGTGCCAGCATAGAGTTCGGCTTCGCAGGATGAGAGGGCAACGACAGAGGAGCGAGTAGAACGCCAGCTGATAAGTCCGCTGCCAAGCGTGAAACCATAGCCTTGTGAGGAGCGGCGGTCTGGCTGGGAGTCCGCCCAGGAGGAATCACTGAAGCCAGAGAGAAGGGGAGGGGAGGAACCACCCAATGTAAGGGCGTGATCCTTGGTGCCCCGGAGGTAGCGGAGAACTCGCTTAGCGGCAGTCCAGTGTTCCTCAGTGTGGCGGCCGGAGCCGACGAACCGAGCGAGGACGCTGATGGGGTAGGCAAGGTCGGGGCGAGTGCACATCATCGCGTACATCAGCGACCCGACGAGTTCGGCATAGGGACGGGAGGAGGCGGAGGGGGAGGTGGGTGGCGCCAGCTGGTGACCGAAGGGGAGGGGGGTGGAGACCGGTTTGGCCTGCGCCATCTCGAACTTCTCCAGCACCTGGCCGATGTAATGGGACTGGGAGAGGGTGATGGTGCGGGCGGATCGGTCGCGAGTGATGGTCATGCCGAGGTAGTTCTGCAGCGGACCAAGGTCCTTGCACTTGAGACGGTCCTGAAGGGACTGCTTCACCTGGTCCATGTCGGTCCTGGAATCAGCAAGCAGGATCATGTCGTCAACATAGACCGAGATGAAGAAGCGAGGGGAAGAGCGGATGAAGAGGCTGGCATCGGAGTGGGAGGCAGAGAAACCGAGGGACTGGAGAGTGGTAGACAGCTTGGCATGCCATTCTCGTGGTGCCTGCTTCAGACCATAGACTGGTCGACGTAGTTGCCAGACGGTATTGCCGGGGAAAGCAGCGTGAAACCCGGGAGGTCGGCGTAGGAAAATACGCTCGTGCAGCTCGCCTTGCAAGAATGCGTTGGAGACGTCCATGGAGTCAATCTCCATGTTGTCGCGCGCACCAACGTCGAGAAGGGCGCGAAGGGTAGGTGGCTTAACGGTAGGGGCGAATGTGAACCAGTAGTCCTCAGCCCAAGTCTGTGTAAAGCCTTTGGCGACATAGCGGGCCTTGTAGACTGGTTCTTCTCCCGGCAGCTGTTTTACTCGGAAGATCCACTTGCCCTCGACAAGGTTGGCGTCAGGAGGGAGGGGCACATCGATGAAAGAGTCATTGCGGATGAAGGCCTCACATTCCAGGAAGATGGCGGCTATCCATTTGTCGGCATCTGGGCAGGTGGTAGCTTCCTGGAAGGTGGAGGGGACGAAGATGGTGGGAGCGGAGACTGCGGCAAGGATAAGAGCGCCGAGGAAGTCAGGGTAGAGGGGGGTGAGAGAGGGAGTGTGGCGCTGGACCATAGTAAGTTCCTCATGGAAGTCTTCTAGTAGGTTGAGGGAGGGAGAAGGCGGTGTGCCAAGGATGGGATCAAGGGAGCGGGTGTGCATGCGAGGGAGGAGGAAGGGTGAGGAGCGGGCAGTCGCCCTCCGCCGCTGCTGCTGTTGGTGCTGCTGAAGCCCCTGCTGCTGCTGCGGCTGCTGCTCCTCCTGCTGCTGCTGCCCCTGCTGCTGCCCCAGCTGCTGCCCCTGCTGCTGCCCCGGCTGCTGCCGCAGCTGCTGCTGCCCCTGCTGCTGCGGCGGCTGCTGCTGCTGCTGCTGCTGCGGCTGCTGCTGCTGCTGCTGCTGCTGTTGGGATGAAGGAGAGGGAGGGGAGGAGGGGAAGGGGAGAGGGGGGGCGGCGGAGTGGGCAGGGGATGCAGGTGCAGTAGGATCGTAGATGTCAGCAGAGGAGGGCGGTGGAGGTGGAGCAGGGAGAGGTGGTAGTAGAGGCGCAGGAGGGAGGAGGGGAGGGAGGACAGTGTCGGTCCAGGCGAGAGGACGGGTAGGAGAAGGGAGGGGGTCTGGTGGTGGAGAGGAGTAGTACGGGGTGGTTTCGTCAAAGACGACGTCAATGCTGCGGATGAGGCGACCGGAGGGAGGGTGGAGGAAGAGATAGCCAGGCGAGTCGCGGTTGTGTCCGAGATAGACACACTCGAGGGCGCGGGAAGCGAGCTTGCCGTGGGTGCGGTCAGAAGGAGGGATAAGAACGTGTGCCTTGCAGCCCCAGACACGGAGACCGGCAGCGTCAGGTTTCGTGCCTGACCAGAGTTCCGTGGGGGTGATGGCAGTGTGTTGAGGATGAGAGTGAAGGTTGAGGAGGAGGGCAGCATGGAGTAGAGCATAGCCCCAGAGGGAAGGAGGGGTGGAGGCGTGAGCGAGGAGGCAACGAGCGATTTTGGTGATTTCGCGAATGCGGCTTTCTGCGACACCATTCTGCTGCGGGGAGTGGGGAAGGGTGTGGGTCTGTTGGATGCCATGGGTGGCGCAGTAGTGGGAGAGGGTGCGGTTGAGGAATTCTCCGCCGCCGTCAGAGTGAAGGGGGCCGATGGGACGGTTGAAGTGGGCGCGGCATTGCTCTGCCCAGTGGGTGATCACAGTCGGTGCCTGGTCTTTCGTGTGGAGGAGGAAAATGGAGGAGTAGCGGCTGTGGTCGTCTACGAGGACCAGCATGTAGCGATGGCCCTGACGGGAGCGAGTGGGAGAGGGTCCCCAGAGGTCCATATGGACTAGGTCAATGGGAGCGGGAGCAAAGGATGGGTGGCTGTGGTGGGGAGACTGTTTGAGTTTGCCGTGGATGCAGGAGGGGCATGGAGGGGCTGGAGAGGAAGGGAGGGGAGGGAGAGTGGGAGGGAGGCTGTGAAGGAGGCGAGAGGTGATGGCAGTGCGGAGAGCGGCGAAATTGGGGTGGCCGAGTCGGTGATGTAGCAGTACAGCGGGGTGGGAGAGATGGTCGGAGGTGGAGGGGGTTGGAGTGAGTGAGGGTGGGAGAGGGGGAGGTGGCTGCTGCTGTTGCTGCTGCGGCGGCTGCCCTTGCTGCGGCGGCTGCTGGTGCTGCTGCTGCTGCTGCTGCGGCCCCTGCTGTTGCCCCTGCGACGGCGGCTGCTGCTGCTGCGGCCCCTGCTGCTGCTCCTGCTGCGGCGGCTGCTGCTGCTGTCGCTGCTGCTGCTGCGGATGCTGCCCCTGCGGCGGCTGCTGTTGCTGCTGTTGCTGCTGCTGGGGTGGAGGTGAAGTAGGGGGATGGGAAGGGTGAGTGGAGGTGCCAGTACGAGTGGTGACATGGCAGAAGGATGGCCAAGGGGTGCGGAGAGTGTAGAGGCGAGTGCGGGGGCAGAGGGGAATGCGTAGAAGGAAGCGACCGGTGGCGGTGTGATAGAGGTCACAGTAGGTGGCATTACCTGGATAGACGGCAGTGATACCTGCATTCTGAATTTCCCGATGGGAGAGGAGGTTGTTTCGGAGAGTGGGGATGTGGAGACCAGTTACCTTACCGGAGGGGAAGATTGTGCAGGGGAGAGTGGAGAGATGTGTGCATGGGATGGTGAAACTGCTGTCAGCACCGTGAACTTGAGTGGGAGGAGAGAGGGGTGTGAGTGTACCAGCATCCTTGAGAGCAGTCTCAGTGGCCCCACTATCAAGGACGAAGTCCAGAGTGGGTGGGGAGGAGGAGGAAGACACCGAGTACTGGAAAGTGGTTTCATTAATGGTGGAGGGGTACATGGAAGGAAGAGAGGGGGAAAGAGCAATGTTGCCAAGAAAACTTTCCTGGGTGAGGGGAGTGACAATACTACCAGGAGGAGGTGGGGCACCCCACAGGGGAGCAGGGGGGGTCTGAGCAGCTGTGGCTGCCGCGCTGAGGTTCAGCTGCTGCTGCTGCCAGGGGGGAGTGCTGGGTCCCCACTGGGGTGGAAGCCCGGGTCCCCATGGGGGCTGCTGCTGCTGCTGC